GATCTGCGAACTCATAAATGCGGTTCATTAATGCTGGTCAAATCCACTCGGATAGCAGTCGTTCGTTGCCTCATATACAAGAATGGGCCTTCCCATCGTAGGTGACAGGACATAAAGCACAATCCCTGGAATGACCATTTATGGTATCGAGGAGCAGCTAGACGTCTCTGAAGAAGAGGTGGTCACATCCCACAATTCAAGGAGGAGTCAAGCTGTCCTTCTTCCATTTAAAAGCCCCTTCCAGCACACTGGAGGAGAGGTCGAAAAAACTTAGAGAAAAGAGTTGAGACCAAGCTGTTAGCGGATCCTTGCATTACAGCACCACCGCCTAGTTCCGAGCTCCGATCGCCGACGAACTAAGCAGACCCGAACTCTATTAACCCGAGCTTCTACTACGTACTGAAGCTCCCCAGTAACCTCATTTGAACGGTCCAAGGGAAGCAGACTCGACACGAGCATCGAGCGAAGCATCCTGTAGCCACCTAAAGTCCCCACACAAAACAAAGAGGGCTTTCCCTCTGCTTCTGTTGTAATCATTTGATTTGTTAGTTTGTAATAAGCCTTCTTACTAATACAAACGAACACTCCCCGTTCTCGGGAAATCAAATATTCACCCTACAACGTAGAAAACCCGGTTGTGATAGTGGATTTCTCCCCGGGAGTGGGGAGCGGAGACGTAGGAGAAAGGTCCGAACTCCGTGATCATATTGTGTATTTGCATTGTTTATATTGTCCTATTACAATTGAATCTTTAGTTCAGATTGTTTATCCTTGTGTTAATTTGTATATCCTTGCATATATCTCATAGTATATCTCATTGCTAGGATATATCTCTTTGTTCATATTGCTTATCTTAGCTCATGTATCTTATTGTATTTCATACTTGCTAGGATAACTTGTTATTAGTTTTAATTGGCATAAAATCGGATTAGATTAGCATAAGACCTTAATCACCCCCCTAGGGTCTAACAATTACTATAGATATCTGATCCCCGCAAAGTACTAATGATGAAAGTTATAATCTGACGATTTTACATTAACCAATGAGAGATACAAATTTACGACTCTCACCATAACAAACGAAATCTACAATCTGACGACTTTCATGACAACAAATGAAAGTTACAATCTGATGACTTTCACAATAACAGATGAGACTTACAAATTAACGACTCTCATATTTCAAAGAGCTAAATGTAAGGATTACAAGATGACAATCCTTGCAATACTTAAAGAAAGATATTACAATTGATGATCTCTTCAAAGCAAAACGTAAGGGTCATACTCGCATTCTAGCTCTAAAACGTGAGGGTCATCCCCACGTTTCAATTCCAAAACATGAGGGTCATCCCTGCATTTTAACTCCAAAAGGCGAGGTTCACCTCCGTGTTCCAAACTCCAAACACGAGGCTCACCTTTGTGTTCTAAACTTCAAACGCGAGGCTCACCTCCATGTTTCACAAAGATGAATGTGAGGCTCGCTCCAGAATGCGAACCTCACATTGACCGTTTCAAACATAATTTGAACGGTTTCAAAATCGTTCTTCCACATAATGGAGCTATTAAGCCCCCATTATGGAGTGAATTAGGGAGTCAATTACACCCCTAAAAGCCTTAAATAGCAGAGAATTTAGCTGAAGAGAGATCCTTTTTTGGATCATCTTTGATTGGCTTTTGTTGAAGCTTTTGAGAGCTTTTGGCTTGGCTTTCGAACCATCTTCGGTTGAGGAACTTTAAAATAGGCTGTTTAGCTTATTTCAGATTAAAAAGGATCAAATCTTCTTTCTAAAATCAACTCTTTTGTAGAGTTTTTAAATTCATTTTAGAGTTCTAAACTTGCCTTACAAGTTCTTCCTAACGTGAAGTCAAGAGGAATAGACCAACGTTCCACGAAGCGAGGTGCTCGGATCGTCAATGTGATACAAGATTTAAACTCCCATATTCGTTAATCTTTCTCTCTTTTGTAAATCGGGAAACCGATAAAGAAAATTATAAAATTTTTTCTAAATCAGTTGGAGAGAAGTTACTTTGAGAGATTGTATTCATTCTTTTTCTAAGTCAGTTTGGAAGATTAATACAAATTTATTTCTCAATTTTCTTATAATTTTTCCCGCAAACAAAAGATGACAACTCTGTTGGGGAATGTTTTTATAGTTAACAGAAGTGGTGGCGCAATCTGATACCAAGCTCGTTGGAACGACTATTAAAACTCAGGCAAAGAAGAATGCTACTCGCCGAAGGAGAAGATCCCTATGTCGAGCACAGTTTAGAAAAATCCAACCAACCAACCAATGCGAACTTTGCATTTGTGAGCCAAAATGTGACCCTAAGCTTTGCGTTTCTACTCTAGAATACGAGCCTCGCGTTTATGTGCCCAAACATGACCCTCGTGCAAGCTAGGCTAAATGCGACCCACAATGGCGCGTTCCACAAACAAAGCATGTACCTCGAGTCAGCGTTGAACATGAACCTGAGCTTCGCGTTACTCAATCAAAACACGAACCTCACATTCAGAAGGAGGTTGCACCATGACCCTCTCATCTTCACTCTCAAATGTGACCTTCGCATTTAGTTGCTCAAACGCAACCCTCGCGTTCAGTTGCCCAAACACGACCCTCGCGTTTAATTGTCCAAACACGACCCTCGCGTTCAGTTACCTAAACGCGATCCTCGTATTTCAATGTTAAAATGTGATTCTTGCGCGATGTGTCAAGTTGCGTTTAGGGTGACCGGCATGGATTTCAAACAACAAATTTGGGCCTAAGTAATAAAACCCAATACAGAACTTGATGTCTACTTTCCCCGGACCCCCCAGTCAGGGGCGCACCGCCCCCTAGACCCTCATCTTGTTGACCTGGCTGCGGGACCCCCGTACTGGGTTATTCGTAGCACGACTAGATTAATGGGTAGACATAAGAAGTCTACTGATTTAAGGCATCTCAACAAAATCCTTTTTTATCAAGAACCAGTTCTGTCCAACCAAAGATAGGGAGTTCCAATTCAAACCTCACATTCAGTGAGTAACTCTTTTCGAGTCTCTACAATGGATTTGAGAAAGTTCATATCGAGAGAAAGACCAATGCAACAAGTCGTTAGTTCATGTCAATGTGAATGACTGATTTCTACGGTCCTCTCTGTTAGCCCTTATGTTTTGATGATGTTTTACAACCACCATTATCGGTACTAATGGCTTATTGAGTATAAATGTAGTGAATTCATATATCAAGCTTGTTAGTACCACAAATAGAGGATTGGATGAAATATGCGCTACAACGATGATATCCAAAGGAGTAGGAGGCATAGTGATGAAGCAACGTTATTTCAAGAACAACAAATTCAAATAGAAGCTTCATCCAACTCAAGCTATATCAAGACTCAAGAATTGCATTCTATATGAGGATATTAGCTAGCTTTTATTTTTCTCTCTAGTGCTAGAATGTAGGCAAAGAGTTATTGATTTTACTTGAAGCTATTGGGATATCACACACACGTTTTCATACTTATGTTTTTAAGCGTTTTTCAAAAAATACTATTTTTCATAAGTATGAGGATCTATCTGCAAAATTCTTCTTCCAAACAGTTTGTTTTTAGTATTAAAAATATTTTACAAAGTTTTATAATTTTCAGAGGTCAAATAAATATTTTAGAAATATTTTAAACTGAGTCAAAATCATTTTTTGGAATGTATCAGTATGCGGTCGACCACACCGGTCGACCGTACCTATGTTCATTCGTCAGTGGGCAGCAGAGAGTTTGTCGGTCGACCGTCGCGGTCGACCGAAAGCTCGAGACTTCCCACAATCGACCGCACCGATCGACCGAAGAAGTCTTTGCTTGATTCTCAGTCTGGGATCTGGATCGCGGTCAACCGTGAATTTTTTTGATCGACCGCCAAGTATTTTCAAATGGTAATAAACAGTACTTTTCAGCGCCGGTCAATACAGATTTTAGCAACGATTGTTTCCAGATTTTGGGGGATTAAGGGTATGAGTTTAAACAACTGGTTTCTTCTATTTAAACTCAACCTCTTCTTCTTCCTCAGTGTCCTAGCTTTTGCAAAAACCAGAGACGTTGTTTTTTACCGAGCAAAATTTTCAAACCTGTTCTTTCTGAGTTTCTGTGTGTTTCACTTCCCAGCTTCAGTGTGCTCTTTCTCTTTACCATAGAGACGTTGTAAAGAGAGAGTCTTACACCATTTCAACTATCTTGAGAGTGTGATCTTGTGTAGATCAATTGTGAGGGAGTGTGATCTAGTGAGATCAACTGTGTAGTGTGAGATCGTGAGGGGATCGCTGTGTAGATGAAATTCTTGCTTCCAAACCGGGTTGTGTAGTGGATTTCTCCTCGAGAGTGGGGAGTTGGGACGTAGGTCAGCGGACCAAACCTCGTTAACACATTGCGCATCACAGGAGAACGATTGCGTACCCTATCTCCTCTATTTTGATTGCATTAGAATATTGTGGTTTGCTTGTCTTAATTTTATTGCATAATTATAGCCTCTTGACCCTAATCACCCCCCTCTAGGGTCCAAAAATTGGTATCAGAGCTTGGTCTCTATATTAGTTTTTAGTTTAATCATCTTAGAGAAAAGATCTTATGGAGGCTTCAATGAATGTGCATATGCTAAAGGGACAATCCACCACTAGACCACCACTCTTCACCGGGAGCAATTTTGCTTATTGGAAGGCTAGGATGACATCATTTGGTGAATCCTAGAGATCTAAGCTCAGACTTGATCTTTGGAAGAACGGACATCTTACATCGATAAGATATTCGTTTTCAAATCTTTACTTCGATAAACGAAGGAGAGATCCTTAAACAACCTCTCGATCTACGAATCGGTGGTCCATGAACCAAAGCATTCTCGGCACAGGCAAAGTCCCACAAAAGCAGGAGTTGATAAACAATTTCTGTGTTATTTTCTCGAGAGTTGTATTTTCTTTTATTTTCATTGTAATTCTTTGTAAACGATCGAAGTTTTAATGGAATCTGCAATGGAAACAACTTTCGCTGAAAACAGCCACTAGTCTCAAAGATCCTCTCTCTCTCTCTCTCTCTGCGTCATGATCCATGCCTTTCAGAGAGAACAAGAGGAAATTGTTCCCTCTAATGCCAACAAAGCCCTTTTTTTTTCTTTTTTTTTTCTTTTACCTTTTAATTAATTATTATTATTATTCCCCAGCCCCTGAATCTCGAGTCCTTTCTTTCTACGCACCTCACTATCTGTTGAGGTCAATCCCTTCTGGCCCAAAGACGGTAGCGCGCTCCATTTGATGCACTCTTCTCCTTCTCTCAACTGTTCCCTCAGAAACACCACCTCCATAACAAGGATTGCTCTCATTTGATTCGTCAGGACTCCAACTGTTTGAACATTCACTAGTCTCAGCGTTACTCCGCTTCCCATCATTTTTCAACTCCTCCTCTCTCTCCGAACAGGTTAAGCAACTCTCTGTGGAGCACTCAGCATTCAGAAATTGACGAGGAACCGAGAATAACAAGCTCGGGCATTCGGCCCCGGCGTCCGCCGCTTCCGCCTGCGCGGAAGAGCTGAAGGTATAGGCGGCCAGTGTTTCTTGGGCTTTCTTCAGCACTGACTGCAAGTACTTCCCTTGAGCTTCTATCCTCAGCTGCAGGTGTTTCTGCACCTGCAGGTAAGGGAACGAACAGATGAACTTCAAACTTCTTAATTAATCTTAAAGAGAATAAAACCGAACAGAAAAAAATTATTCGCATCTCGATCGCGTGTTTCACCTCAATTTGTTCTAGTAATCTCCTCTGGACCTCCATCTGGCGATTTAACATGGTGGTGGAGCTGCAAACTCAACAGGTTAGCAACCCCAAGTTATGATGAGCATTCACCAATTGACGGAAAGATAAATATCGTACTTATGGAACTGTGGTTGGGTTTTACTCTCATCCACATACCGAACTACATCCTCCCTTGGCCTGTAATCTGCAGCCATGATGCCTGTGTGCACCACTTGTCATTTATTAGAGTCCGAGCAGTAAGCCCTTCTTAGTGATGCGTGAGTGTGGAAATAAAATCGTTCTCATCGAGACGTAGGGTTGCGCAGACTAACCTTCAGTGTTGCTGCCCGCCTTACTCTCTCTGCTCTTTGCCAGTCTGTATTTCTGCCAGAAAGAAAGTATGATGGTTATCTTTAGGTGTACGGTTCAGTTCAGTAGCTGCTCCCCAGTTTGCAATCCGAAGGTTGTTCTTTAAACAGATATATCCTCACCTGCAAATGGCTCTTCAGATGGTAAAGCGTTATCCCAGGAATCCGCATAATCCGCATAACTGATTTCGGAGTAGCCCCTGCAATTTAGAGAGGGAAGAGGAAAAAAGGAAGAGACATGCATAGAAGAAGCTGAAGATAGGAACGAAATCTGAACAAGTGCAATGTGATACTTCAACGAATTTACCGCGTTATACAGAGGGAACTCACTTTCAGGTCCTCCTAGCTCGGAAACAGCCTCGACAAAATGTTGGTGAAGCTGCCGGGTCCATTTCAGACGAGGCTTGGCGTCAGTAGCTGACAGAGCCAGTCCATGGTCATCGGTTTCATTAGACATTTCCTGCGACCTACCCAGTGAAGACTCAATTCGCAAACACTTTGAATATCGATCGGAGTTTCAAACTTGAGACAGATACCAGAACAGCATTCTTACCCCTCCCACCCCCCTTGCTTCTTCACCTAGCGGATGCGATCCCCTGCCTATGGGGGTTCCAGCCTCCCCTTAATTAATAGGAACACACATTGAGTGGGCTGCGATGAAGAATATATGCATGAGCTGTGACCTATCTTTTATTTTTATTTTTACTTTCTCCATGCCATTTTCCTCTAATAAATTGTTAATTTGTTCGCTCCTTTGACCAGAAAGGAAGAGAATCTCTGATGCAGGTAAAGAGAGGAAAGCGAAACAGTTCAAATTTGGTTCTCAAAAGGAGAGAAAATTAAGAAGGCGGGGGGGGTGTGGGTATCGTTTTCTTGCTGATCTGCCTCACCCCTCGGCTCTTTGCTGGATTCTCTCCTTCCATTTTAGACAGCCCCACCATTTTGAATAATAATAATGAAAGCTGCTACTTTCTCCTACAGCACCTAGCTTTGAATGGAAGGTATGATTGACCGCCCCTTTTTCTTTTTCTAAATAAATGTCAAAAGGGAAGCTTCACACTTCACAACCCACCAGCAATTCTTTAATAGAGGTGGAAGATTGTCCTTGGATTTTTGGGTGATTGGAGAATCAAAGAATCTAATCCGAGATATCTTGGAGAGAGAAAAGGTTGCAGCTTAGCTAGCCTTGGTCATTAATTAGCGCATGGCATGGATAACAATGCCAAATCCCATTTCTCAAGTAGTATATTTCAACGACCGTAATCATGACAAGATTACAAAAGGAGGAAGACGACATCCTGAGTGGAATCGGTCGTCCTTTTTAAGACGAGCCGGCTCCTGAAAGCAAAGTAGAACACGCGGGGAGAAGCAACACCCGCACAGTGTTTCGACTGAGATCGTCACTGCTTTTAAGTCCGCTGCGCGCAGTAACCCTGTAAGGACTTTAGCGGGTCGTAGGAGAGAAACGTTTGCGTAGCCATCGAAAGCAGCGTCCCTTATCGACGAAATCCCTCTCACACCTTCCGCTACAGTTTCCGCATTTGTATGATCTGTCCGCTTTTGCTTTCTCAGCATCTTCTCCTTGTGAATATATACTTTCGTACACGACTTAAAATAGATTGTGTACGTGGAATTCGCCCTGGCCCTAACCCATCAGAAACTCATGGCACAACTTTTGCGTACGTGGAATTTTACCCGATAACAGAGATCACTCTTTTTTTTCCCCTTCATATCTGGGAACTTACGGCACGTGGAATTGAA